CCCACCACCCCCACACCAGGGCACCTTGCCTGGTCCTGCTGCCTCTGCCTGCCTAAGGTCCCTGCCTCCCGGCATGACCTGCACCCTCAGGGACAATCCTGGGTGCCTACAGGAGGAGCAGCACACCTCTCTTCTGTGCCAGTCATATCTCCTCCACCAGCTCCAGGGTCACAGGCCCATGTCAGCATCTCTGGAGGGGTCAGCCCTGTCCCCAAAGCCAGCCTGGCTGCAAGGACCTGTCCGGGGGGGTGACAGAGACCCAAAGCGCAGGCAGGAGCAGCTGCCCACAAGCTGCCCCACATCCCCAGCTCCCCATCCATCCCCGGTTCCGACATTATCTTCCCATGGCACTTGGGGAAGCTTTAAATAATTCACAGAGGTGAGCCTGAGCACAGATGCTCCCGCAGGCAGCTGGGTGCAAGTAGGCAGGCAGCGGCTGGGTGGCAGAGATAGCGGTGCCATCCCCGCCAGCTGCCCAGGGCCTGCTGGTGCCTGCCAGCTGGGAAGGGCGGGCCTGGGCTTGGCGTCCACGGAGGAAAAGCACTGAGAGCATCATCCTGAGACAGTTCAGCAGAGGCAGGAGGTGAGTGGGGTGCCCAGGGAGCCCCACGCCGTGCTGCCCTCCATTCCCAGCCCTGTGCTCTGCCTCCAGCCTGTCTGGCTGCCCCCCCCCCTTCCCCTCTGCCCCCAGTCTCTTGTGCAGGATCCCAGACTGATTCCTGAGAAAGCCTGTTGTTAACCTGGCAGCTCTGGCTGTAAATTCAGATCAATAATTTAAGGAGGTAAAGCTATTAATAGAACACTAAAATATCCACTCTTGTCCGAGACACAAAGGTGGGAGTGAAGGTGACGGTGCCTGGGTGACCTGCACAGCCACCTCCCAATCCTGCCAAAAGCCCCAGTGCTACTGGTGCTGGCATGGTGGGGAGAGTGGCAAGCGTTGCTGTAACTAATCACCGGCTGTGCCAGGAGACGGGAGGGTGGCATCCTTTAGGGAGTGGGGTTATTGAAGGACTCCAAGGCTGCTATTACCCGCTAGCCCTGGTCTTACACACACCATCACTCAGCGCGTGGCCGTGGCTGTGGCTGTCACGCCAGCCCCTCAGCGGGGCCTTGGACTGCACCGGCCAGGAAAACCACTGGAAACAGGTATAATTACACAGACAGTTCTCAACGGGGGTGTTTCAACTGCAGCCCCATTACCTGTGCTGCTGGCTACACAATGCACTGATGCTGTTCAGTGTTTCCTGGGTTGTCCTCCAAGTCCCGTGTCCCCAGTCCCACAGCAAGTTAGCACTGAGCAAACTCCATGGCACATCCCCTCTCCACCCCAGCATATTCTCCACCCTCCGCAGCCAGCCTGGCCCCGTGCAGCCTGGCTGAGTCGCGGGCAGGAGGCAGCCCCTGCCAGCCTGGAGTGGGGAGCTGGCCCCCCCTGCCCGCAGGTGATGCTCTTTGGAGCCACTGTGCTATGACGTGAGAGCCCACCGCAGCCTGGCTCATTTCAGGAGGATTAGTCTGTGATCCCCCACTGCCCAGCCCCAGGGAGGGCAGCTCCAGGAAGCGGGGAAGGTGAATTTCAGAGATATTAACCATGGTCCCCAGTGGGATGGAAAATGGAGGTACATCTCCTCATCCGAATGGAAGGAACAGCCACCCCATGGGGGAGCAAATAAAAATAGGCTGACATTTACCTGCCAGCCCTGAGCAGGGCGGATGGAGGACACTGTGTCCAGGCTGTGTCCACTGAGGGATGCAGGCATCTGCTCTAGTTGCAGGCACCCACCTCCTGCTGTCCTGCTCAGGCTGTAGGGACAGTGTGGGGCAATCAGCGGTGTGGCTGAGTGCCCACAGGGCAGCATCCTGGGGCAGCGCCGGTGATGGGGAGTCCTGCCAAGGCAGGGGTGCATGCAGGGCACACACAGGCATCGATGATGGGGTGATGAGACAGCCAGGTGCATGTGTCAGGGCTGTGGTGTCCTGAGGGCAGCCTGTGTGTGGAGGTGGGCAGCAAGGTGGATGGCAGCAAGGTGAGCAGCTGTGACATGGGCAAGGAATAAGCTCAGGGCAGGACCGGTGCCCGAGCCTGGAGCCTGCTGGGGTACTCGTTCCTCCCAGGGGGATGGCAGTGAAAAGAGCAGGAAGGGCTGGGATCCCTGGTAGAAGTGTCCTGAGGGGTGCCTGAGGAAGGTGAAGGAAACACACCTGGGCACCCGTCCCTGCAACTAGCAGAAAGAGGCCTCTTCACCCAGGGCTACTGGGATGAACTGAAGGCACTTTCTGCCCTGCTCAGGAACTGGGGGATGCTGCAGTGGCTGCTCCCACCTCTCTATCTGCCCCCAACAGCCTCTGTCTTTGCATGCACCACAGACCAGGGCTGAACATCCTTCCACGATGGCATTAACATTTCCTGTCAGTGCTGGCAGCAAATCCTTGGGATGACACTCGCCTCTTCACAGCCATCTCCAGGCAGCGCAGGCCAGCTGCCCCGCAGCCACAGAGGTTAGCACGCCTCCTCCAGCATCACCAGCTCGCTCGGCATCTTACTGCAGACAAATGCTGACCCTGCTGCGTGCCCAGCAGCCAGGCACGCTGCTGCACGTCTTGCCTCTGCTCAGGGTGCCTGCCCAAGCCCAGGCACAGCAGCCTGGCCCACAGCTGGTCACCCAGGTCCTCAGGGCTGCAATAGCCCCTCGAGCCACTGGCACTGCTGCCCTCGGGGCACAGCCTCTACCGCACAGAGCACCGAGCCCTCGCCTGGCCTGGGGCATGCAGCCAGGCCCCAGGGAGCCCGAGTCCAAGCCCTCACCACCAAGAAGCCAGCGCATGTCTGCAAGTGGGAAGGGTTAACCAGCTCTGAAAGCAGAGCCTTCCCTTCCTCCCCCTGTGCTCTGTTTTACAGGCCAGAGCTATTACCAGGAAATGTTCCCATCAGCACCATTGATCCCTTGTTTACAGCCCCTTAATCCTCAGCTGTTGACTCAGGAGTAAAGAGGAGAGAAGGGGAGGTGGTGGTTCTCACTTGAGCATCGCCTCTGCCCTGCCTGCATCCCCACGCAATGCCTGCCTGGCTTCAGCACACCAGGATGATGTGCACCCAAGCCCTGTGGCACCTGGCTGGTCACCGAGGGCTCCTCAGCCAATGGAGAGATGATGGAGAGTGTGGCACAGTGGCAGAAGCCTGGTTCTGCTCAGTGGCCATGGCTCTGCATGACCTAGCCAACGCAGGCAGCTGCAGGTCCCCCCTCACTGGCAACAGTCTCCTGGCACACGGCTGTGCCACCCACCAGCTGCCTGACACCTGGTCGCAGGGCCCATGTGGCAGCCCTGTTTTGTTCTCATTAGTGCCATGAGCAGAGCTGTCATGCTAAATTAGGGACCATCCCGACTCGTAGCTCTGCATCTGCCAGCCAGCAGCGGCTGCCTGCCTGGAGAGCCCAGCATGGCAGTGGTGGGCATCCGCTGGGTGCCCCTGGGAGGCTGCAGGCAGGAATAGGCAACCCCACAGGCTGCCTGACAGCCAGCAGCACAGCAGGGCTGGGGTGCCGGCTCCCAGCGTGGAGCACTGTCCTTGCACAGCTCTGCCTGCTCCTGCCCCTCTGCATTGCCTCTCACCATCCAAGCAGGGCACGGGTGGCTCTCTGGACCCCTAACTCAGGGCTGCAGCTCTCCCTCACCCTTGACCAAGTTGGGATCATGAAAACCTGTGCTGAGCATCTGTGGCCAGGGCACTTGCACGATGTCTATCACTGGGACTTTCATGAGCTTTTGTAATTTTTCCAGTTCCCATAACACTAGATCTCACCACCTCCCTGTGCCAGTGCCCACAGGTATATCCCCACGCTGGCTGGAAGGGCAGGATTGTGCCTCTCTCTGCTCACTTAATGCTATTGCCTGGATGCAACCCATCCCCTGGCCCCTGCTCTGCTAGCATGGGATATGCTTCACTCCCAAAGCCCTCCAGGCAGGGATTTACCTTCCTTCCTTCATAAGCCCTGGCTCTCACCCAGACCCCACAGGAGGGGTAAGGAGCCAGACTTCCCAGTTGGACTGGAACAAGGCTGCAGGTCACAGCCTGCCTCTGCTGGGGCTGATCCAGGCTGGGCAAGTCCCAGGGCTGGGATCCCTAACCCACCCTTTCCCTATGCCTCTCAAACTGGCTTCATGGCACAAGCACTGCCAGAGCATCCCCAGCACAGCACAGCACAGCACACCCCTGCTCTGCACAGAGCTCTGCCCCAGCCCTGACAAACCCCATGTCAAGCCAGGCAGCCTTACATCCTGCAAAGACTGGCCCCTGGCAATTTTCCCCTGCCCTGATCCCCAGCCACTGGGGCCTGGGATCCCCTTGTCAGCACCCCAACAGTGCCCTGGGCTGTGGGTGCTGGCACAGGGGCTGTATCCACCCCTCCCTGCCCCCCAGGGTGGGACATCCTGCCACTGGGCACTCACTGTCTGGAAGTCACTGCCGTTGCACTCTTCATCACCAAACATGCAGCTGACAAGCATCTCGCCGAGATCCAGCTGGTGGCCCACGCGCCCGTAAAACTCCTCCAAGTCGAAGGGGCGGCTCTTCTCGTCCTCGTTCATGGCCAGCGTCTCCAGCAGAGCCTCCAGCCTGCTCCCCTCCACACTCTCTGGCACCAGGGGATGGCCAGCCCCATCCAGGAGACCCAGCATCTCCCCTGCCCAGTACAGGTCGTGGCCGGAGAGCTGCAAGAAGCGGACAGGGTTGAGGTTGCAGATCGTGACGGCGGGGAAGGTCTTGTTGTGCACCGTCTCCTCCTCCAGCTGAGTGTTGTGGGGGTACTGGAAGTATAAGCCCACGCACTTGGCATAGGCATGGACAAGGAGCCCCAGCGAGCCCAGGAAGGCCAGCAGCCACAGCAGGTTGCGGACAGTGTAGCACTGGTGCTGGAAGATGTGCTGGATGCCGTGGAGGCTGGAGCGACCGGCAAATTCCTCCAGGCTGCACGGGCGCCGCTGCGGGGCCGGGGCATCGCATGCTGGGTGTCCAGTGGGGCAGCCCCCTGTGGGAAGGGCTGCTGAGGGCCAGGGGGGACCCCAGGTGCGTGGGGGAGCCCTCTGGGCTTCCTCCAGCCACATGCTGCAACCTGGCTTTGCCTCTCAGCACTGAGCCGAAGGTGCTGGGGGAGGTTTGAGGAGTGGCTGACCGGCACGGTGACGGGCGGGCAGGCTGGGCTGTGAAGCAGGCAGCATGCGCCAGGCCGGGGCGGAACCAGCATGGCGTGATGCTGCCTGCACCCTGCCCTGAGCGGGAAGCTGGCTGAGTGCTGAGACCACAGACGTACTTAGCAATCACCGCATCCTGCAGGAGTCAGAGCCAGAGGCTGAAACGTCCTGGAAAGCTCAGGGCACTCTCATTGCCTGTCCCCCGGGTGTGCAGGCAATTAGCTGGCGTCCTGCTCACTTCCACCATCTCAGTGTACTTAGTGTGGGCTTCCCAAGGAGGGAGAGCTGGGCAAACTCCTCACATCCCTCTGCCGGGGCATGTAGGAGCCACCCAGGCAGGGCTGCATGGCCCCAGGCTCAGGAGAGGTGTGTGTCAATCGTGTCTTGGGGGACAACAGCTCTTTGGCCACCAGGATGTGGGGGCACCCTAAGCTCTGCACCAGACTTGCAGTAGCACAGCTCAGAGACATCAGTCTGGCCAAGAAGCTGAGGTGTCAAGTGTCACTCTTGTGACAGCTCCTGCACCCTTGGGCTCAAGCACCTCCTGTGGGCCCTCAAAAGCTGCGAGGGGTCAGCTCCTGTGAGCACAGGGGGAGGGCGGGGGGTGGCAGGGCACTCGGGGGACAATGACACAAACCCCAGGGGTGCACCGGGTGCTGGTACCACCTGCATACCACCGTGGGGATGCTGCCAGGCTCTCTGTCAGGGCACTGCCTCGAGGCTAGGAGATCTGGCATGGCGCTGGGGCCGGCACAGCTCAGCATCCCTCTCCCTCAAGGTGTTCAGGAAGAGGCAAAATCTTTTATGAAGCCAGCAATATAGCTAGGGAAAAAAGCTGCTTTTGAGCACATATGCCCGAAAGCTTATCTCCCTTTCTGAACCATCTCAGTTGGTCTAGTAAATGATAGTGCCTTTCCCTACTGGGCCTGCCACACATGCACCAGGCTGGGCAGATCCCACAGTGCTGTTTCACTGGCAGGGGGAGCAGAGTGGTGATACAGAACAGAGCCATGTCTGTGGGGCTGGGGAGGACAGGTCAAGATCTGGGAAGATGCCCAAACTGAGAGGGGGGCTATGTTCCCCCCACCTCCTCCCCACACAAGATGAAGGAAGCTCCCCCAGGATGATGGGGAAATCAGAGAGGAGGATGCCCCAGGCACAGGGAGGAGGTGATGCCCAGGCCTGGTGGGGCTGGATGCAGGTGGTAGGTCTGGGCTCTCTCTTGCGGATGCTCAGACCTGGCCTAGCAGGGCCCCAGAGTGGAGCAAAAGGCATTGCAAGGCCCTGTGGTGTCTGCAGCCATGGGCTGGTGATGCCGGCCCTGCCCAGCTGCGCTCCCCTGGCCTGTGCTCCCCAGCACATCTCTAAATCCATTAGCTTTGCATAATTAGATTTTTCTCAATTACCAGATTATGATAATTAACAACTCATTTGTAGGAGGCAGTGCCTAATCCCGGCATTGCGCTTGGCTCAGTGCCAGCCTGGCTTGCAAGGCTGCTGGCACTGGGGTGGCAGGCAGCAGAGCAAACACCGCCACGGGGGAGCCTTGCTGGGGGCCAGGCAGCCTCAGGGATACTCCCAGGACCCCCCAGAAACTCTCCACCACTGCTGACCTAGACCTCCCCTGTACTGCCTGGCCAACACAGCCTGGACAGAGGGTCTGATAACCAAAACCAAGGATGAGAGCCCATGCAGGGACAGCATTTGCTGGCGAGGGGAGTCAACAGGGTTTTAGAAGTAGCTCAGGCACCTGTGAGGCTCTGGAGCTGCAGAAAACATCCTGCAATGTCTCCTCCTGCAAGCAGCCACCAAGGGAAACCATGGGAGAGGTTAGCGTTGTGGGCTGGGCTAGCATGGCTGTGGTCATTAAGGGGCTTGTTAATGAACTTTCCTAGTCAATAATGTTGCCAAGGAAGGACAGGAGAGCAGAGTAGCTGGAGGTAGCCGCCAGTAAGGTACCAATCTTCATCACGGGAAGGCAGGACAGTTCAGGCAATTACTGCCCATCAACAGAGCTTCATTCCTAGTAAAATAATAGAACAAATATTAAGAGAAAAATGCTTCTGAGGACCTCAAGGGCAGGGGAACGGGGAGCAATAAAGATGTGTTCAGAGCTCACACAGAATAAATCTGCCCAGTCTGACTTGATTGCCTTTTTTGGGTAAAATTGCTAAATGAATCGATGGAGAGGAGACAAGAGGTGTGATATATCAGGATTTTATTAAAGCATTTGATATAGCATCTAAGGGAATTAATTCCATTTGGCAGGGACAGCCACTCATGGTAGCAACCTGTGACACCGGTGTATGCAGTGCCAGTGGGGACAGCCCCTCTTTTCCCCACCCAGGTGAACGTACAACAGCTCCTGTTCCGTGACCTGGCTCCCAGACAGGCTGTGCTGGGAGCACCAGGGTTGCATCCGGATGAGCTGGATGCAGCCCCATGCCCAGTCTGGGCAATGCCCGTAGCCAGCCCAGTGCAAGAGCCACCACTTCCACGTGCCCAGGGCTGTCCTGCAGCTTCAGGACTCTTCTGCTCCTGCCATGGGCTCTGCCTGCAGAGCTCTGGCTGGGAAGAGGCATTGAGCGTGAGCAGTGGTCATGCCCAGCCAGGCATGACTGGCTGGGATATCTCAAGCCATTCCCGTACATGTCTTTTGCACGTCACTTCTGATCTTCTGCCATGAGTGTCTCCAGGCGGGGGATCTGGTCCTGCCTCTCTGCCCAGCATGGACAGCAATTTCAGCTCATACAGGCGATAAATCAGCCTGCTTGCCCGGAGGTGGCTGCGCAGCCCCTGCTGCTTCAGCTCAAATTTCCCAGTCTCAAATTACCCCTGACTGCCTGAGATCCGGCTGGTTTTGTACTGCTCCTCTGAACTCCCCCAGCTCCATTTCTGTTGCCAGATTTTGCCAGAGGCCCTCGAGCATCACTGTGCCCAGGAGCAGCATCTCCCAGTGCCCAGTCCCCACGGGCAGCCCTGCCGGGGAGCAGACCTGTGCCAGCCCTGGCTGCTCACGCCATGGGGAGCCAGACAAGCCTCGGCAAGGCGGCTTCACTCAACCGCAACGGCATTTGCTCCTTGGCCAGATCAGCACAGGGTCAGAGGTCCCAGGCCAAATTTCAACACATTTTTCTCAGCAGGGGAGCAGCCCTGAGTGGGGTTTTTGCTGGAAACCAGCTGGGGCATTTCTCCTTGAAAAACTTTTCTCCTTGAAAACGTTTTCTCCTGATGGGGTTACTTTGATGATCACACTGGGAGCACCACATGCAGCAGTTACACTCCCGGCTGGAGCCTCCTTTCCCCTCACCGAGGAGACTCTCTTTGCAGTCCCAATTCAGACTCGACAGCCTCTTCCCCTGCCTACCAGTGCCAAGGAGCTGGGGGCTGGAGGTGCTGGCGGCGATGGCAGTCTCTCTCATGGAAACAGCCCTGCCATGGGGCAGCGAGTGAAGCAGTCCTGCCGCTGGCAGTGCCCACAAAGCCATGGGGTCCCCAGGAGCTGTGATATGCTGGGAGAAGATGGTGGAGAAGGGGCTCACAGAGGCACAGCTCACCCCAGTGCCTGGCCAGCCAAGCTGCTCAGTAAGAAAGGCACTAAATATCCATGAGACCATTCAGACATCCCAAGTGGGTGTGATGAGCAAAGCACCAGTTGTTTGGGGGCCAAGCAGAGATAAAAGACCTGTGTTTCTGAGGCATCAGCAGATCCTCCCTATGCCCCCCATTTTTGGGGTGACAGAGGAAGCTATTAAATGAGGCACATGTGCAGTGGTCCCAGCAGCAGCCTCTCCCATTCCCTGTGTCTCTTCTCCCTGCAGCTCGGCCCCTTCCCGCACCAGCCTCTTTCCAGCTCCTTGCGCTGGTGCTAATCCCCTAATCTGTGCAAAGCAATAATTTTCTGTGTGGCAGAGAGGCTGGTTTGAGATCTGCATCCCTCCTCCTCCTCAAGCCAGCATCCTTATCAGCAGCAGGTATCAGGTGAGCCAAGGCAACATCTACCTCTGATAAACCCATGTTTTATTTTGCCCTATTTCCCTTTATCTCCAAGCCCGTAATTATCCCTCATCTTGCAGCGTGTTGTGCTGTCTTGTGTGCTGAGGAGTGGAGGGGATGCCTGCTTTGTCAGGCAGCCCTAGACCACAGCCTCCTGCCGGCGGGGTTCAGGGAGCTGGTCGGGCGATGCTCGAGGACAAATCCTGCCCACCATGCTGGCTGCCAAGCTGTCCCTCCTCTCTCCACACACGGGCCGTGTTCCCTTTAATCTCACACAGCAGCGGAGATGGATTTTCTCCCTGTGAGCCAGATGTGTTGCACGGAGCATAAACACCCGCGACAGTTGTTGTGCTCCTCGGTGCGAAGGCATCAGATGTCTGCATTAAAACAAAGCTCTCCACTTAATTACTCAGGCTGATAATTCAGTGCGTGGAGGCGGCTCTGGCTGAGAGCAGAGGGCTGGATCACAGCTGGGACTGGAGAGCCTTGGAGTGCACATTAATCCCGGCTCTCGCAGCCCTGATTAACGGTGTTGGAAACCTGCCCACCCTGCTCATTCTCAGGGGAAGGGTCTGTCCCAGTACTCACTCAGTGCCTCACCAGAGGGGGCCCAGGATGGTGCCTGAGGGGCTCTGCTGACCCCCCACCAGGCCACAGTGTCCCTTGCCCAGCATCTTCGAGGTGGGGTGGTCTGGAACATGGGGGACCATTGCTTGGAGGGTGCTGTGCTGTCCGCTGCATCTGGGGCCCAAGGGAGCTGCACACAGGATGGGGAGGGCAGAGCCCCAGGGTCACCCTGTGCAGGGACCTGCTGCCAGAGCACAGCTGCTGGAAGCTGGAGTCAGCCTCTTGGCCAGGTTCAGAGCAGGACCAGGCAGACCACCAAAGGCTTTCTCCTTGGGATCCAAACTGCCTGCTCCTGCTAATCTGCATTTCTCCTTCCACGGAAGGAGAAAGCAAACACCTCCTGTAAATTCACCTCACTGCCCTCAGTCAGCACCAGGGCCCAGGTGTTTTCACAGAGGAGCCTCTCACTCAGCCATCGGGGCAGGCTTGTGCCCTCAGCCTGTGAGTGCCCAACCTGCTGGACCAGTCTCCAGGATGGGATGCTCATGTGTGGGGCTGCTGCCTTGAACCCATCTCCCTCCAGCCTCCTCCACCAGCCCCTAGTCCCTTCCCTGGCTCCTCACCTCTCCCTATTCCTCCCTGACCCTGGTGACTGGGCATCCCTGGATGTGGACCATGCCTCTCCTCCCGGCAAGACTCCCCATTCACAGGCACTCCACGAGCTGGCGCTGCTGCAGATCTGCCTGTGGGGTCCTGTCTGTCCAGGGAGACTGAATTCCTCCAGCTCTGCTCCTGCCCTCTTATCTCTACTCCCTGGGCTTCATGCCTCGCTCTCTGTGGCCTGGGCAAGAGGGAGCAATAGACCCCATCCTGCCCGGGCTGAGTGCCCAGGCTGGTGCTGGGCATGAAGAGCAGACAGGCCTGATGCAGGCAGGCAGGCAGCTGCGGGAAGCACCATCCCAGCGGGGCCCCAAGGGTTAAATTGTCATGTATTCAGGGCCACTCGCCGGCCAGGAATTACACTTTTATCGGCATGCGGTGCTGCCGCCGCTTGAATTGGGACTGGGAACTCTATTTCCGAGCTCACCCAAATTATTCTCGAAGAGATAAAGCGCGGTGCAGAGCAGCGCCGGCGCTTCATTAACATTCCCCAGCCCATTCAGCTTTAAACGAAGATTGCCTGCCTCGGAAAATGATAAAATTGAACATGTGAAGCAGGGCATTATGTTCCATCAGCCGATATTATTTCCCACGCAGGGGCCAAGCGGAGACACAAACAGCTATTTATGCAGCGCCTGGCCAAGCTGGGGTGGCTTGGGAGGGGGGTAGTAGGCAGGGGGGGCACAGGGTGGGTGGTGAGTGATCCCCTCCCATCCCTGGGCCTGAGGGGGGCTGCTTGCAGGCTGCCAGAGCTGCTTTGCCCTCCTGGGGGCTCCTGGGTTTGTGCCCAGGGTGCAGGGTGGGTCTGGAGACCACAGACCTGCTCCATGCACTGGGTAAGGGAAGGGGTGTGCGGGGTCCCCCAGGTAGCATTGGCTGTGCCCTGCAAGGCTGCTGCCCTGTCCCAGGGGATGCGTGTCCCCTGCTAGGGCTGAACAAGGCAGGTGCTGGCTCCATGTGCAGGATGAGGTCCCACTTCTCAGGGCTAGCACATGCTGGGGAGCACCCACAGCTGGGAAGCATGTGCCTCACTGGAAGCAGGCAGGGAGGGCTGAGCAGGCAGCAGAGGGCTGAGCAGGCAGGGAGGGCTGAGCAGGCAGGCCCCCAGGGCTGCGATTGGATTTTGCTTGGCCATGCTGAGCCTATCGATCCAGCAGTAATTAAAGTCGCTCCAAAACCTGACTCATATTCAACCTTGGGAGGAAGGAGCTTCTCTGAGAAACACCCTCTGCTCCCTGTACACTGGCACAGCCAAGGTGCTGCCAGCCCGTCCCAGCTCCCTGTGAGCTCTGTCCACAGGGGAGGCCCTGCCTTGGGAACTCCCTGGGGCCCAGGGCAGCAGCACCCCCTCAGGCAGCATCACGGCCAGTGTCCCCAGCACAGCACAGCCACAGAATGACCCTGATGAGGTTCAGCCCTTGGGGTGGGGTCCGCGCTGCCTGGACCCTATAGCCCAGGATGAATCCAGGCTATTTTCTCACCAAGTGCCTCGGACACATCCCTGGGATGTGGGGATGCTCCCCCATGCCCCTCGCTTGTCACTGCCTGGGCCCTGTATGGGACCAGCACGGGGAGAGGAGCCTGTTGACCCCACAGCCACCCCCGAGAGGCACCGGGGTGCCGGTGGGGGGGACCTGCTGCCGCGTAGGCACAGGGTGCAAAACCCCTTCTCCAGGTCAGAGGCAGCCAGGAAGGTGTGAAGGAAGAGGGAGGGG